TGCTCTGTAGTACTCAAAGAGAAATATCTCCATTTAAAAATTATGTACAAAATAAATATTACTTAATTAAGATAAGTAGGTAAATATACAATAAAACACAATAAAAATACATAAAATACAATAAAAGCTTAACATGCTCACATTACTGCATGCCGTCAGAAATGACGACTAACTCTTTCAAAAGGAGCTCTACTGCTACTATATAATATATTATAAGTGTACAATCGTTTTTCACAAAAGAATAAGTAGTTATTTACTATTTTTATCAGTATTCCTAAACTTTAATAGGCCGTAGATACGACTACAACACATGGCAGCCAGATAACAACGTATTAGGACATACCCGTGTACCACAGCCAACATCTTCAACGCTATGCCAGTTGCGAAAAAATCTTAATACTGAATGTGCTGCATATAGTCAATTCAACAATAATATAAATATAGACACATAAATGGACCTACACTAACTGATAGTATAATTTTTCCCATAATTTTTATGTATACGTGTTTAATAACTCATAAATTTTTGTGTAAACAGTAGTATAATGACGATTATATAGATTTACTCTGATATTTGTTCTAAGAGTTCGTATATTCATTTTAAATGGACCTCCGGCATGTTTTATTTTAATATTCATCATTCGTATCTAAACGGAGTGTTACTGGAAGCTTTATTTTTCAATGCCTGTAATTTGTTCACAGGAACACTTTCTACCTACTTGTTTCGTGGTGAAAATTATAGACAGCGTATTGTCTGTAATTAGGGCTGCCATCTCAATATTTGCCAAACCCGGACAAATATTTAAAAAAACCCGGACATTTGGCGTATATCGCATTTTTTCCCCGGACGAGATGAAAATATATAGGTAATTAAACAAAATGTTTCTATTTTTCATGCATTTATTTATTTAGTTTCACAGAAATCACAGAATACGTGATTTGCACTAAAAAAAACAATTAATTAAACAAAATGTTTCTATTTTTCATGCATTTATTTATTTCGTTTCACAGAATACGTGATTTGAACTTAATAAAAACAATTAAACAAAACTTTTTCTTAAAAAAAATACATCTTGTCTCTTTCTTATACCCGCTTATAAGGTTATATTTTTCCAATTATTCTAGCAATCAGATTTATCAGATTATACTACTAACTTTTATTAAATTGACCAGAAAAAGAGCATAAAAATCAACATTCAAGCATAAAATCTAAAACAACTCGCAAACAAATATTATCACATTATGAAATCTAAACAAACATGACAAATTGTTGTTTCTCAATAACAAATATTTTTAATAACAATTAACTTTATGAGATCTAATCAGGCAATTGGTAAACGATATGTTTTAATTAAATTCGCAAGTAAGTAAATCAGTCTTCAGATTCCTTAGCTTAGGGATAGTTTTCTACTTCTAATTATCTAGACTCTAGTCACAAAAAAATTGCACTTATGCATAAAATCTAAAGCAAAATGCAACAAACAAACATAACAAATTCTTATGTTTCTTAATCATAAATATTTTTTATTAACAATTATTATGAGATCTAATCAGGCAATTTGTGAATGATATGTTTTAATTAAATTCGCAAGAAAGTAAATCAGTCTTCGTATTCCTTAGCTTAGTAATACTTTCTACTTACTAAGACATGGGCGGTCAACCGATTTTACAGTGTTATAATAATAAAATTGAAGCTAGTACCTTGATTTTGTATTATTTATACGGTTTTCACTTACTTGTGCACAATAATACCTGTAAATACAATGAGGTGTTTCCTCCCATGAAAATTGTCCGGGTTTTCCCCGGACACTCTTTGAAACCCCCCCCGGACGGCCCCCGGACGGCCTCCAAACTAGGACAAATCCGGGGAAACCCGGACGGATGGCAGCCCTATCTGTAATTCCTCTTGAAATAACTTGAATAATAAAATAATAACGGCGGACAACCAAAAGGTACCCTTTTATTTAATTAGAATTATAATAATAACAAAAGTAAGAGAACATTATCTACCAATAGTTATAAATAGTTTACGAGAGATTTTTCCAAAACGGTAATAATAGAAAATATGTATAGTCTATACGTAAATAAGAATTGATAAAGCTCTAGAATCTCAAATTTCTCGTAATAGGTAATCAGTTAAGACTAATCGACGATCCATTCATCGGTGTCTAGGTCAGACTCGCTGCGCACACGTGACTTGCGCATGGGCAACACGCACGCAACACGCGCGCGCCTCTCGTCTTTCCACTCGCCAACCAAGCGCTCGCGGAAGAAAATACGGAAAACTATTTTCGTAATATAGTATTTTATGAGTCGTACTTGTTTTGTGGTGCAACAGTTTATCAATATTATTATAGCATATATTTTATTCTAATTACCTTTCTCATGTGATGTATATTTATGAAGAGTAAATGTGCGATCCTGACTATAATAATAACTGCAGTGTATATGTATATTTTCGGTTGACCACTCTAAATCTAGAGCTGTAATTTTGCTCGTGACAAACTCGTTCCATGAATAGTGGTCGTTTTCTATATATTTTTCGATATCTTTTACTAAAAACATTGCTAAAGTTTGCATGTGGTGTGTTTATTTTAAATACCTATGCAAGTTGTTTCGTCCAAAAATATCGTTCTATGTGAAAAATCATGAAGTGATGTCGGAAACGTTATTGTCACTTGGGAGGACAATAATATCTCGTGATAGTTATTATTTCTTTGTTCAATTTACTGGGTTTTATTGTAAAATAAGTACGAAAGTCATGGCTGCGACGACGCCACGTCGTTCGTTGTGTATATCATCAGCATACTCCCAAAAATTTCGTCCATGTCGTTAAACTTGACATAGCGTCGGGGATAGTGCAATTACGCATCACTAGCATTTGATTATGAGTTTCCATTTCGGTAATTTAGTGACCAAATTAAATCCGCGTAAATGTCGTGGCAAACAAATTATCGTCATTTACGGAAATCTATTGTTATCAATCCGTGGACAACATAAATTAATGCTCACTGTGCAAAAATTAAAGTCGTGGCCATTGAAATAACAGAGTAATAACGTTAAATCCCTCTCCTGTGAAATTTGATTTGGTGCAGATATGCGTATTTTACCAATGCTAAATCTTTTTTTTTTAACCCACACACTCATAGCCCCGCACTAGGGAAATCCTGTATTGCGGGTGCCATGGACACACACATAGACAACCAGAAATTACACCCAAACTCACGAGGTAAATAAATTAAAGGATATACAGACATTTTTCTCAAGACCTCTGCGTGGCAGTCCAACATGGCAACCGTACGGCCACGGAACTAGCCACAAGAAGGAAAAAAAACTGATACTGTGAATGGGTAATGTAAAAAAGACGGACATACGACGATTAGGTAGTAATAATAATATCAGTGACGTGACAGACAACGACATCAATTACCTGGGCTCAAACTCCCTGTACTAAGAGTACCAGAACAACGGAATTCACTCGAGTCACTATCCGGAACACTAGACTAGAAGCAAATTTGAAAACTTTTTGTTTCTCATAAGAAATGAAACTATTTTTCCGAATTTAAATCGCGTATATTTGTTTTTTTTTTTTCAAACAATCCCACGTTTTGGGCCCTGTACGGGTCCCATGGTCACGGTTGCAATCGTTTAAATCCGGAAAAATAGTTTCATTTCCTATGTGTAAATAAAGAAATCATACTCAAGTCCCTGCCATTAGGGTCGTATTTCCAGTACTTGTGTTTCCAGTGCGACCCTAAGGGTCATATTTTAGAACTCTATTCAATGCTCAAGTAAGGATTGCTCTGGCAACACAAGCACTGGAAATACGACCCTAATGGCAGGAACTTGAGTATGATATCAAGTGCTTTAAACCATACTCAAATCCTAACTTGAGCATTGAGTAGACTTCTAGAATACGACCCTAAGGGTCGTATTCCAGAACTCTACTCAATGCTCAAGTCAGGATTTGAGCAGACTGGAGTACGATTTCAAGCACTGGAAATACGACCCTAATGGCAAGGACTTGAGTATGATTTTCAGTGCTCACTGCAATACTCAAGTCCTGACTTGAGTATTGAGTAGACTTCTGGAATACGACCCTTAGATCGCAATGGTCTGAAGGGCACCGCCACTGCGCCTGTCGCCCAGAGACATAAGTTGACAAGTCCTTCTAACCGAAACGCAGTAATGCTCGCATTACAGCTTGGCGGTAGCAAGACCTCCTCATCTAGAGCCCACAGTGTAAACCCTGGAGTCGTCAATAAAAAATGTGTTTTTGAAAACTGATCAATCAGCTCAGTAATAACAACAATATCATAATAAAGAAATGGACGATATTATTTACATTCGTTCATAATATTCTTGACATCAATCGTATCTTAGTTTATATTATCATTTCTGTAATATAAATTTAAGAATCTAAATTAATAGAGCAATTAATATGCGTCTCTGTAATATTTGCGGCACAGAGAATAAATACATATAAATATATTATGGCATGATTCTATAACTATGTACATAAAAGATCTCTTCACTATCGTGAACATTTTATACAAACAACTTACCAATACAAACTAAGATAATGTCCGTTTCAATTTTAGTGACCGAAGTTACCTTGCGCTCTACACTAGTGCTCTTTAAAAGTTATGTAACATCACTACTTATTTCCATAATTGTCAGTTCTGTGATAAACAAAATTTCAAAACTAAAGTGGCTAGTATTTCTATGGCTGTCAAATGTTCTTGCGAGTATGGGAAATCTTAAAAAATTGGCAACTCTACTAATGGGTTAGTATAAGTCAACCCTCGGTAAGGGTCACGGGAGTGATAACCTCTCACGACACTCGGGGTCTGGACCTCCGATCGGCGCAAACGCAGAACTTCGCCCTTCTGCGACGCGTCTCACATAGTCTATAAAGGCCCCGGGCGCGCACAAAAGAAACAGTCTGCCTTTGGTCTCCGTCGATGATGTTTATTTAACGCTCGGGCGAATAACGTTAACGCGGGGGCAAATTGCGATGACCGACAAACCAAAACAGTGATAACAAAATTTTTGATCGTTTGAAAATCCCTCCGTTTATAGCGCGCATGCGTGAAAACGCCTCAGTGATTGGCTGTTAAAAGGAACGTTCGGAAAGACAACATAAACAAACATGAGTGAAACGAATATCAACGGTGTCAGTCCTGTTGTGAGTGTCAGTCGGTCTGCTTGTAACAGTAAAGGAAGCATGATTGTTGTTTCCAACCGATTACCTTTTATTCTCAAAAGAAATGAAAAAACCGGTGAATTAGAAAGGAAAGCCAGGTAAAGTAGTATTTTTATGCCTACTATTTATTTGAACGTAAAAAAAATATTTGTTTCATAAATTAGGTTAGAACCACTATGTTCTGGAACAAGACTGGGTCCATTGACCCAGATAATATTTAGACAAATGCAACTAGGGGATCAAGTAAAGCAATAATTAAAACCCAGTTAATATAAAAAATAGCTAGTGTTCTAGCCACAAACGCATGAATTATCCTAATTATCTTCTAATAATAGTAATTATACTATATAGATATAGATAACTGTACAAATGATTACATTTACAGAACAAGTTGGTGGGTAATCATTGCGTTTAAATGCCGACAATGTTTTGTCGATATATAGGTAGGTATATAAGTTCAGTCGACTTCGTTTTCTAGAATAGTCGAGACGAAAGCTCCGTGTGTTTCACGCGACGGCATAGTTATGTAGGTATAAGGTTCGGGAACTTTCCGCGAAGGTCGAATTCACCGGAAAGGTGAAAGAAAATATTTCTTCATCAACGCCATAGTTTGTTCATATTAAATAAATTTATAGAATAATCGTAAGTATTGTTGTATAATTATAAAAGGAATGCACCGTCGTGTTAAGGCCCCAGCAGTTAACAACGGTAAGCCGGTGCAATATAACCCGACCTAGTTGAGAAGTTGCAAAAATAATAGCGATCAAATAATGAGAATGACTTACTCAAATTGACTGGATGTATAACGTATCGTGAGGCCTTGGACTTGAATAGTAGACGGCTCAAGGTCAACGCGAAATAGGTGACAAAACCACTTTAAACATACAATAACAGCAAAATTACTGAGATTATGAGAGAGAACAATATACTGAGGGGCAGTTAAAAAGAGTATTATATAGTATTCAATCATATGGTCTGAAAATACGCTAGAAAAGTGTCGACTGTAGGTGTACATAATATAATATTGTTAATGGTAAAAATAATGGGACTTTCTTCTTGATGTTCTTCAGTTTGTACTTTTATTTGTTTTAATGTTATGGACAATCATAATAATAATACTAATTACCTAATCTCAACCTAGGGAATTGCCTGTAGGTGCTTTGTGTAACCCAAACGAGAATTTTAAAAATGCTAATTTCTCAAATTGGTCCTACCGGGAATTAAGCTCAAGACCTGCTTATAAAGGCGCCCACAGCGTTAACCGTTGAGCCAACGCCAGCGAGATCGTCTTTTTATTTATTTTTTATTATTGACTTGCGTAATAGAAGCAAATATCTACACTAAGAATATTTAGAAGATAATTTGCTTTATCCCTAAAGATTAGTAATCAAATGTACAATAATCGTAGGGTACAATTTGTAGGAATGATATTTAGACAATATAATTCTGATTGTTTTGGAAGTTAAAAAGAAATTAATGAAAAATGGTTGTAGCGGACTGTACCAATGGGTTCGGGTGGGTGCTAACAACGAGTGAGCAAGGCCAAAGCAAATGTACTCACAGCTTATTAATTTATTAGAAAATACGTTATAGCTTTCAAAGCACAACAGCAAACAAGTCAGAAAAGGCGCCAAAAACAATCACATATAAGTTTAGAATTTAAATATAAAAGTAAACTTAAAAATATTATACATAAAAGATATTTGTAGCGACTGCTGCGATTCGCTACAATGGCCAAATTGAAAAAACAAGGAGAAAATTGTTGCTATTGTTACTTTGCAGCCTTACCCTTGGGTACGTTTAACTAAACGAAAAATTAATCATAAATAAATAAATAAATAAAAATATTAGTAATAAAATACCTATTATAGAGGGGACAAATTCAGTTTTAGTTTAAAAACTTGTTAAAAATACAAATACGACTAATACATGAGTATAGTAGGTATGTAAAGTGATAAGTTGAATAATAAATAATAATAGTAAAATTATTTAGAAATTATCAAATTGTGTAGCAGCACAACATTCTTTATCTGATTAAATTATCACAGAAATTTGATAACTAACTGATTTATATACTATATAACTAATTTTATATACTTAGATTTTATAAGACGTGTAAACTTTTCGATTAAAGCAACAAAGGGGTAAACAAAAAACAGTATAACTTTACAAATCGACGTAAACAATTGTTGAGGTCGTATCTATTTTACAAATTTTAATATTTAACTTAAATTTTAATATTAAGTAACTGTTTTATAATGTGAAACAAAGGGACTCGTCACTAGTAAATAAGGAAAGCCGAATTCACACTATTGTTAACCCGTTCATGGACAGTAACAGGGTTTATCGTCAAATTGTATATTGGAATATGATAATAAGAGGCTCTAAACAAGACCAATCACGGTCTTTACAGTGCGATTTCCAAGTTACTTTCCATATAGTTGCCGCCTACTGCTTTTCCACAGAGAAGTATAAAGTAGTATACTGAGTAAATTACTTATTGGTATACATTGAACATTTTATATTGAATCAATGTAACCACGAAAAGTATTGACATTTTTGTATGTCCATTAAACGGTTAAAGTAGGTGTAAATTAAAGTTAATAAATAAAAATAATTCCGATTAATCCGATTATTATCGCAAACAATTGTCATATCTATATTTAGGGAGCGGAAGTGCGTAAAAATTTAATCCAATAAAAAATTACTTAGTAATGTAGTTAGGAAAAATTTTCAAATTCTTTCGATTATGCGTAAATTTGTTATTTGCCGAAATATGTTAATTTTACATTAACATACGCATGACGTCGGCTAAATTCGTAAACATCGTACCTCTTTTGTGGTTCCGTTAATGTGAATTTTTGAGTAGGCACAAAAACAGAATTAAATACTATATAATTTTAAATGCAATGTTACGATTATACCTTTATAACTAAAAAAGGGGCTAGAAAATATATTTTAAGTTTTAATATTGCCCGATATTGCGCTTGAAGAGTAAAAACGGAGTTAGGTTTTCAAATTTTGCCGACGATAACAATGTGGGTACATAATAATATTATGAATCATTGGCCACATATTATACCAGAATGTTTAATTTGAAAAAAGAATGCCTCCAATCGTCTTTTGATTTCGATTATTAAACATTCTGGCATGTGTGGCCAGTGGCTCATATGAAAGTTGTTATCATAATTCAACCTTTTTTTTAAATTCTTCCAGTGTCCATGAGTATACCTTGTCATAAAAACAAAAAAATGGTATGAATCAAAGTGCTTACATCTTTGTAATTTACCTTTTACACCCTTTCTTCATCGAAGTATCGATACATTCGATTTCAACTCATACAAAAATACCTACCTAACATCTTAGCAATTTCAATATATGTAGTGACGGAATACTTTGGTGACAGAATGCAGAACAATTAAAGACTGATACGTACCTACGTATGTTATTACTTGGTATCTATAGGTTTATCTACGCGACAATTTATCGGAAACAGTAGAAAAATTGCACCCGTTTTGCAATAAAGTCACATTTGCATAATGACAACTTATCAGAAGAGCGGTTTAAACACTCTTCGAACGAAATTAGTCAAATCAAATCATTTATTTGCTTTAAGTACAATACTATATATACGTCATAGGTTATCAAACTCTTTGACTCACCATCCACTTAGGCAAGATAAAAAATATGCAATACAGACCACCAAAAAAAAAACGGAAACACGTACTTTTTACATTAACTTAACACAAAAAATACCAAGGAAAAAATTACACGTACGTAGTATATAGTTAATTCAGGTTCTTTTTTCAAACGCCGTAATTACTTCCGAGGCCCCTAGCGCCCCCTAACGACTCTTCAGCGCCCAATGGGGGCTGAAGAAGAAGAAGAAGGGGGTAGGGACCACTTTGGGAAACTATGACATACATTTAGTAGCAGTAGAGCTCCTTGTGAAAGAGTTCGTCCAGGGAAGTACTGTCACCTTACCTATTTTTGCCGCCTCCGGTTTTGAAGCGTAAGGGTGCTGGTGAAATTACAGGCACATGGAACTTGTCAACTTATGTCTCAGAGTGACGGGCGCAGTGACAGTGCCCCTCAAATCTTTGCGATTTAAAGCTCTGAGTGGCACTGCAACTTCTATGGACAGGCGTGTAGCTTATTATCAGGAGCACGACTTGGTCGTCCCGTCACTTGATATTATAAAAAAAATGCAAATACACTATTCAATTCACAAGCCTTATAGATATAGCGTCACTCTTATTTTAAATCTAAGTTACATTATTTCATTATATATATATTACATACAATATTAAATTATTGATATAAACATCATCATCATCATCATCAGCCTATTGCAGTCCACTGCTGGACATAGGCCTCCCCTAATGCACGCCATTTCGCCCTGTTCTCGGCTTGACGCATCCATTTCCTGCCAGCAATCTTCCGCAGATCGTCACTCCATCTGGCTGGAGGGCGTCCCACACTACGTTTGCCAAGTCGTGGTCTCCACTCAAGAACTCGTTTACCCCAGCGGTTGTCGGTTCTTCGGCAGATATGTCCAGCCCACTGCCACTTCAGCTTGCTTATCCGAAGAGCTATATCGATCACTTTGGTTCTCTGTCTGATAACCTCATTAACCACTGTTAAGTGAATATAATAACCACTACATAACCTCCATAACCATATTGATATAAACATTGAGATGTAAATAAATTATATTTTATTAATCCAGTACATATAATAGCAAAGAATTCATTAATTGAGTGAAATGGCCTATTTATAAAATACTCTTTCACTTTTCTGTCAATTATTCTAAAACATAGTTTAGAGATGCTTGCTTAAATTATTACGAAATGAACGTTTTGAATGCAACGTTATTGACACTGTTGTTGAAATTAGCAAACCGAGAATTATTTAATGCTAGTATATTTTTATTTCTAAGGATGAAATTATGACTTTGTCCTGCTGTTGGAAAATTTTCCTATTTATAAAAACATGGAGACTTACTTATCCGTTAGAAATACATATAATGAGGTAATTGTAAGGATTTTCTTGTCTACAAACAAATTTCATTGCGTAACTGACATGCGTTTAGATTTAACAATTAGCCATAGAGCCTTTTTCTGGATTAGTAAAACAGATTTATAACAGATTTAGGTTTACGTATCATTTTTATGGGTTTCATGTGATAAAAGCACTTTTGACGTTGATCACATGTGGCTTTAATACCAAAGGTACGAAATATTTTTCTGTGTATGTATTGTAAATTTAAGAGTCTATACAACCTCAAATGGCTTTGATTGAATTCTCATAACAGTGAAAGTGTTGAATCAATAACTTGGGATAAAATATATTGTAAAATTGAGGATATAGGTACAATCTTAGAATAATAACGCATAGAAACCTAGTCCGCACACGCTAAGTGAGGCAAATTGAAGCGCTCCCAATGGGCCTACACGAGTGGGCGGGCCGTCAGTGCTCAACGTCAACTTGCACCGCGAACAGCTCCAGAATTTCAGCTAAAAATGATGAAATGTGCGGTAAATGAGTGTAAAAATATGTCAGACAAACATAAAATAGATACTAACATCACCATTCCACAAGGAAGTAACGCGTTTCAACTTGTATTTTTATATAAATATTCACTAAAACCGAAAATTAACCTACTACTAAAACTAGCCTACATGAATTTGATTTTTGCCTCTCTTGTGACAGTTCGTTTGATATGAAACTATCATTCTATGCGTTATTATTCTAAGGGTACAATTATTACTATAGGGTATGAAAATAAGATTTCACGATAGAAAAAAATACAAACTTACCTCGAAATTTTACAAGAAAACCGCTGCATTGAATAGGTACTTTACATATACTAATGATTTTTTTAATATCAACTGAACCAAATAGAACACGTATAGTAGGTATAGGACTTTTCAAATGGCTTTAATTGCATTTGTAAAACAACACATTCTGTAAAAAAGCAGTAAAATGGGAATTCGAGCTGAGGTGTTAGACTTTTAATTGATAATATTATTAATTATAATTCTGTAGTATACTTGTGTTAATTTTATAATTGTTAACAGTGCTGGCGGTCTGGTGACGGCAGTGGCCCCCGTGGTTATCCGCTGCAGCGGTATCTGGGTGGGCTGGCCCGGTATTCACCTCGAGGACCCCAATGAGAAGATCCCCGAGTCAGATCCCAATGACAAGACCCCGACTGCTGGGCTGCTCTCTAAGAAGGTATTACTTTATCTCTGTCAAAAATGGTGTCCTAATCTAAAATAGTTTCTTTTTGACTTATTACTAAGATTTGTAACAGTAGAACTCCTTGTGAAAGTGTTCGTCCAGTGAAGTACTAACGCCAAGCAGTAATATGACCATTCATTATTGTGTTCCGATTTCGAAGGATAAGTGTGCAGGTGAAATTACATGCACATAGGACATCAACTTAATGTCTCAGGATGACGGGTGCAGTAGCGGTGCCCCGCAGATGTCTGCGACTTAAAACTCTGTCATGGGCATGCGTGTCTCTTACCATCAGGCGCACGACTTGTGTACGTTCCGTCACTTAGATATCATAAAAAAAATTGTTCAGAAAATCTTTAATTTTTTTCTGAATGGAACACCGAGCTTTTCATAAGTTAACAAAATAACTCTCACTTTTTTCAATCATCTTTCTGATGAATTTAAACGCTTTTCAGATAGGCCACTTTTCTAGAAAGCCATCGTTGTGTGTTCTTATGCGCAGGTGCAAAACTATGTAATCACTAGTTAATCCCTACCATGTAGCAAGGATTTTCTTTGGGATACATTGTGTTTAGGATAGGCTCTCGTTAATTAGTTTTCTAAACTACAGATTCTAAAATATGAAATTACTAAATAACTTGTTTCTGATTTACAATTACTAGAGTGGGCAGCGTATCTAGTGCAATGTAATAGTCGAGGAGGAAACGTTTAGTGTTTATAAACATACAGTTTATTGCAGAAATGAAACCATTTGGTACTGAGTGCGAAATGTGCGAACAATGACGTCATTTAATGGTGGAAAATTTCATAGTTACAATGAAAACACGCTCAAATTGATGATGCACACTACATTTTGTCCTTTGTTAACGCTATCGAGTTCTTAGGTTTTCGCGATTGTTACACATAGGAAATGAAACTATTTTTCCGGATTTAAATCGCGTATATTTGTGACCGTGACCATGGGACCTGTAAAGGGCCCGAAACGTCGGTTTGTTTGAAAAAACAAATATACGCGATTTAAATCCGGAAAAATAGTTTCATTTCCTTTGTTAACGCTTTTCATAATGGAGGTTTTTTTATTATGTTCAAATAATACATTGATAATATCGACTTTGGTTTGCGAAAAAGAAAGAAAATACATTTATTTGACAACCAAAATTTAAAAAATAAATTAAAGAAAAACCACAAAGATAAAAAAAAATTTTAAACGTAAGACAAAAATAAACTTTTTTTAATTCCTTCGATCCGGCCGGATTCAAACCGACGTCTTCTAGCAAACCGTGGCAGGCACTGTGCCAACTAAGCAAAAAACAATTGAATATCAATTCAATACAAATATAATTTTTTTTCTTTCAAAGAATACGGTTATTTTGTTCCATATACAAATTTACAGAGTGTGAGCACATTTGAAAAGCTCTAAAATGTTAAACTATTTCGATTAGCGCTACGCCCTGTACGTAAAAATAACGAAAAGTATAATGCGTCTCGGTTTTTTCGTATGACTTGCGATTTTAAAATGATTTTTTTTTGTATTAAGCCTGGTATTAAGCGAAACGGCTATCCATAACAGCTGCAATGCCTCTCAGATTCTTGACAGACACTACCACTGCGGCTGTCACCCTGAGACATAAGTTGGCAAGTCCTGTGCGCCTGATTTCATCAGCACACTTATCCTTCAAAACCCTAACACAAAAATGCTCACATTACTGCTTGCCGGCAGGAATAGGTAAAGATCAGTACTTCCCTGAACGAACTGTTTTACAAGGCACTCTACTGCTTATGGTTATGGTTCGGCATCACAGTTTTTTACAGTTTAAGTCTGATTTATCCGAGGTACAATATACAGCTCGCAGGGCTATATTACTATCTATCATCATAAACAACAACTTTTATTCCGTGGATTTTCATATATATATATATATATATATATATATATATATATATATATAATTCATCAGATTTTACTTTCATACAAAAATACATTTATTTAAATAAATCGCTTTAAACGGTAATGACTCTGTGCAGGACGGGGTTGGGAGTCGTCGCGGAGGAAGTTTGCACGTTTGAACTTTCCATATAACCAAATATAGATATAAAAGTGTCAGATAGTACAGGGTCACGAGCACGTCAAGCTTGACGTGCTCTTGACTGTACAACAAAAACTTAATAGTTTATTTCGATACCTCCGACGTAAGTTGTTTTAAGTCAAAATACCATATTTTACTTTTTAAGTCAAATATATACTTTTAATGCATGTTATAGGTTCCATATTTAAAAGTAAAGAAATCACTTAGTGTTTGTTACTTTCAAACATTGATCCTGTAATATACATTAAAAAGGATATACATTATTTACGTTAAAAAGCAAAACATGATATTTTGACTTACAAGAACTTACGTAGGAGGTATCGATTTATGGTAAATTTATTATGTTTTGTAGAAAGTCATGGAAGAATATATTGTTCGTGATATTAGTAATAGTCACGCGAAGTTGATAGTATTTTAAAAATAACCCTGTATAAGAAGTGCAACAAACCGTCGAATTACGAATTGCATTATCAGATTGACTGAATTAATAACATATAACTAAATTAAAATAAATAACTGAATTATCAGACTGATTAATTGGAATCCCCAGCCAGCTCCTGATTTGGAATCAGGAGCAGGTTACACAGACAAAATTTCGTAATTTCGAGTCTTGAAACTGGTTTAATCCAGTATTGGTGTTGGGTATTGCCAATTGGCCATTTTCCAAAGTGTGTGCCCAATTTCACCAAAGACGTTTATGTATTCACTAAAAATATTATGGTCACCTAATTTGAAGTTCTTAAGGGAACTTTGTTACGTTACACGTCTGAACTATAAAGCTACATTACAAAATTCTTCTTCTGAAAGTATTTGCCTTGTGAATAATTAACCTTCAGTGCCTTCATAAAACAACAAGTAATTGGAATACCTACATAAGGGTGCTATTAGACAATAAGGTAGTTATTTAAGTAGGTAACATTGCTGTGTATGAGAGTTTTAATGATATTAGACTATGTCATAACATAAAATTATTTTAAAAAGTTCTTTGAGTCGTTTAACCGACTAAGGTATTTTGTCTATAATTTACCTACTTCATGCGGATTAAGTTCCCAAGCAGTTAATCTACTTAATCATGACTTACGCAGTTGCACATTATATTAACTGCACACATCATATACCAAATCTATGGCACACGTTCAGTACGTCTGATGGCAACCTCAGGGTTAACTTGTCGTATCGGCCTACTGTCTATACGCCACCGTATCAAACCAATACACTGTAATATCAAAAAAAGCATTTCGAGAAAAAGCTGCTAAACGGATTTTTCGATTTTATTTAAAATTTGAGGTTAATCGTCAATTTTTATGTAAACGTTTTTGACGATCCACAGGTGTATCAAACAAAACGAGTACATTTGCAAGCGTCAGACTATTTACTTACTTTGTACCGTAGAGTTACTTGCAAAATAAGCTATTTCTAATTTCTTATCCCTTGATTGAACAGACGAAACTTATTGTAATGAAATTACATAACACTGTACTGGGATGGTACTTTCAATTATTTGGTTTGACGCGAAATTTGATACGAGAAAATGTGTGCTGAAGGAAGAAACAAAATGTCTCGTGAGATTATTTCCGAACACTGCCCTGAAATATTTTTAATAAGCACAATTTTCACGTATTAAACGTATAGTATCGGCTATAAATAAACCTTTTGTGACATATCGGACAATAACAAGCATAGGAACCTGCAGGTGAATCACACGACCTTCGAGCACGCGTTTAACGCGTGGTCGGAATCGAATTGTTTGCTTTGCTGGCAGTATGAGCGTTTTACCTCTTTCTAAAGGGGCCCATTCATATTCCTGCATTGCAGTTCACTTAGCCGTATGCCGAATAACGCACGACTATGAATGTAGTCGCATGCAAACCATCCCCAAATGCCAAGCAGGATACCCCCTGTGACTGCAAGATTCCAACAAACTCCGCTCACCGCTAACAGTCCGTCGCGCAGGAGTATCAGTAATCTTGCGTGATGAACCACCGTTTTATGTGCCAAACCAACACCACACCTACTTACCTTCAAATATTCTTCATGGAGATTCTTAAAAATAGCTTTACGAGCCAGGTATTTTTTCACCGAGCAGTTGTGATGAAATTTTGCAAGGGTCTTTGAAACATTCATAAGCTCTTCTTTTAGCCAAAGTCTTAATGTGGCTACCAATCTTTGCCCTGCAGAACGCTGCCAACGCATCTTGGTATTTTGCTTTGCTATTGTAAGCCCACTTTTGTTAAATAAAGAAATAAAAAGTGTTTTTATTCATCTTCAAATAGTTTCGGTAGTCATCAATAACAATTTTTTTTTTTCCACAACTTCTTACCACAGGCACAACCACAATTTCTCTTACGAATATCTAACATTTTCTTCTCCTAGAAACTTTTTTTTATTTTTGTCCAATAACAAAGAAACAAAGTAGGACAGTGATTCTCGTTTTTTGATATAACGCGTAAATTTGGCATATTAATTTGCAAGTTAACCGACACCCGCACGAAATTCGACGGAACTGTCGTGGGGCCATACGCAGGATAGTGTGTTAGCAGTCCTCTGCCTGCGCAGTGGACTACCATGCTGGTAGTGAATGGGCCACTTTAATATGGTATACGGATTCAACAAATAGGCATTGTAATTATAAAATTTGCTATAAAATATATATACATATATTTCATAGCTTAGCAAATTACCTTATAATCGTAATATTGATTATATTATACTGCTCATTCGTAAGACAGATTCGCATGAGAAGAATGAGCAAGAAACTTTAGGGATTTCTCTTGGTAAATAAATATTTGTACACATTTTATCATTTATAATATTTCTTTCAAACATCATAGATCGAGACACAGATTTTTGTCATCCAAGTACTAAGATGTATAATAAAGTTTTGTGCGTCGTGAATGGCAAATTTTG